TGGCTGCCGTAAAAGAGAGTCATATTACGCCTAACAAGTGAGATCGTGATTGGATGAGGATGCTAAACAGGAGGGGGATGGACAAAGGAACTCACAACACAAACGCCATTAGGGCCGACTCCAAGCCATATCAATGAGTGTGTCCAACCAAACGTGTTCACCATCCTTAGGACTCCAGCCAGACAGTCGGGATGCACCAACCGACGCCAACTTCGAAGTGAGGGTTTTCATTTCTCTCGACCAAGTCATCACTTGGCCTCCCCTCCTCCTCTTCCAACCGCACCCACAACGCGCAAACAATGCACGTCGCGGGAGTCGGTGTGATGGCATGCGCAACACGTGGCCTAGCCATCGGATCCTGGTGCGTGATATAATGGTGCTGAGCGGTTCACTCGCTCTTCATGCACCAAATACGCGACGCCGAACATGCTCATTGCTCACTCGATGTTCCCACCAGACATGAGCTAAGCTGCGAAGACAGCGATGATCGAATGTGACGAGCCTCTTCATGTCTGTCGACCTGATGGGCCAGGTTTCACAGCCATATAGGAGAGTTGAACGGACGGCTGCGTTGTAAACTCTGCCCTTGAGGGCGAGAGTAATGTCGCGTCTGCGCCACAGGTGGCGGAGATTGGCAAAAGCACCTCGAGTTTTTGCTATACGGTTCGTAACCTCATCTTCAATCAAACGGTTGCTAATATAGCTGTCCAGGTACTTGAATTCCTGAACGACTTCTAGCAGATCACCACCAAGCGTTAGCGCAGGGTTGAGTCCCTGCCAATCTTGGAGAAATACTTTGCATTTCGATGGAGCAAAGCATAGCCCAAAACGATTGACAGCCAGTGCTCATCGGTTCAGTGCTGTTTGGCATGTTTGGGAGCTGTCACAGATTAGGGCAATATCGTCTGCATACTCCAAGTCAAGAAGTCGCTCACCAGGGAGTAGCTCCACACCTTCTAGGTCGTGTCCAGCGAACGCTGTTTCCATGACTTCATCAATAGCGAAGTTGAAGAGGAAAGGTGACAGCGGGCATCCTTGTCTCACACCGCTGGTGATACTGAAGGGTGGCGAGAGTTTGCCATAAACCCTCACCCTGCCCGAACTATGTGCGTACAGCGCTTTGATAATGTTTACATATTTATCAGGCACACCTTTCCTCAGCAGACAGTCCCAAAGGGCACATCGATCAACTGAGTCGAAGGCACCTTTTATGTCAAGAAACACGACGACGATGGGTTGCCGATAAACATGGCGGTGCTCCAACACTTGACGCAATGTGAAGATGTAATCGATGCAGCCCCGACCTCGACGAAATCCGGCTTGCTCTTCACGAATCTGGCTTTCACGAGTGCCAGTCAGTCTGTGGAGAATGAGAGAGGCAAGCAATTTAGAGGCAATCGAAATCAGACTGATCCCTCTATGATTGCCGCATTCTAAACGGGAGCCTCCCTTGAAAATTGGGACAATGACGGAGCGGTTCCAGTCTGTCGGGACTGTCTCCTGCTCCCAAATTTTTACTAGCAACTCGTGTAGATCATCTACTAGAGCAGGTCCCCCGAATCTGAAGAGGGCTGGAGGAATGCCATCTGCCCCTGCGGCTTTATGCAATTTCGGCAGCCTGATCTCACGTTCGACTTCTGCGCGTGAGGGCGGATCCAAGGAGACGGCCCAAGGAGAAGGGCGCTCAATGCCCGAAGAAAGCGATAACTCAGGTTGGTTAAATTGCATAGCAAAGTGTTCAGCCCAACGCTCCAAGCGTTTTGACAGGCTGTGGATCGGCTGCCCACTCTCCTCGCGTATGGTCTCGCTAACACCAGATCTCGTGGTGCCTGTTTCCCGTATCAGACGGTATAACTTCCGATGATTACCAATGGCAGCGGCTGTTTCCATCTCAGAAGCACGATGAGACCACCAGGTTTCGCGGTCCTTCCTAAGGCTAGCACTTAGTTTTGCCCTGAGATTTTTGCGAGCCTCATTGTATTCGCTTCCAGCTGGAATACGTCGGCGAACATCCATAAGTTCCATAGACTGTCCGGTTTTACAATTTGCTTTGCCACATGAAGACATGCCTGCTAACAGCAACGCTTGACGAATATGTGACCAGTGATCTTCAACGGTGTTTAGTGAGCGCTTACTCAGCCCAGATGTCAGCGCATCTTGGTACACATTCAGAACATCTGGCTTCGCCAGCTGGCTGGTGTCAATCCGTTCACATCGACGTTGCGGACGTCCACTGAAACGCACCAGGAGGTCGGCACAGACAAGTGCGTGGTCAGAATCCACGCTCGTGCTCCAAATCGAGCGACAGTTTTGGACACAGCCCCTCCAGCGGTAACTGATCGCGATATGATCGATTTGTGTCCATGGTTGGCCCGAGGCTGGTGGCCGCCAAGTCACACTTCTGCGGGTGCTGTGTCGAAAGTTAGTGCTCGCGAGAAAGAGGCGAGCATCTTCACACAGCTGTAGCAATCGCTCACCATTATCATTACGGGAGCCTACACCATGTTGGCCGCCCAGATGAAGCTCATCAGAGGACAATTTTTCGACTTGGGCGTTTAGATCGCCAGCCAACATCACAGTATCCGTGCTTCTTCTGTAACGAAGGAGCTCGTGAAGTTGCTGATAGAAATCATCTTTTACCCAATCAGTGTTACAGTTTGTAGGGGCGTAGGCCGCAATGACAAACAGGCACCATTTGTTCCCGCGCGACTTCGTAGCACGGAACGAACCAGCTAATCTAACGGCGCACATCCTACTGTTTACTGGGATCCAATCAATCAGGGCAGCTTCAGCTCGGGGACTCAAAACAATGCCGATGCCAGCTTGACCGGTATTTGAAGCTGCATCATCGCCAGACAAGCGCAATGAGAATGTGTCGCATGTGGGGGATCTCAGGGTAAGCACGGAGCTCGAACCTTACAGGCGGGTTTCTGGTAAACAGCAAATATCGATCGACAGGGTCTCTAGTGTGCGGGCAAGTGTTGCCTGTTGGCCAATCTGCAGCAAAGTGCACACGTTGAGGCATGCTAGTCTTAGCGAAACACGAGGACTCCAAAGGGAAACGGATGAACTGACGTTGTCCGCTTGGTTGAACATGGACTTGTCGACTGGAATGGAGCGAGGCCCTGCGATTGTGTGTGATTTGAAATTAGAAGACAAGGGACTATTGAAGTAAGCTGGGGGAGGGCCAAGAATTGGGGGATTGAAAATGGGGGGGATATAAGTAAAGTTGGAGCGGGACGATAAGGATGAAGAAGCGCAAGAAGGGGTATAAGAAGACGGGAAGGCCTGAGCAGTAGCATCCATACCCCTATCCACCCTACTCGATGCAGCAGATAGAGCGCTGTTTATTATTCTCTGCGACGGCCAGAGCATCAAGAAATTGTTGTAGGAAAGGTTCATTGTATTGCGTGGGCAGAATACTGTCAGGTTGCCCAGGCCTAGACAAGAGAACGATTAGGGTTCTCAACCAAAGCCTTTGGTTCAAAAACCTTACCGCAAGGCAGCGGGTTTTGGCACTGGACTACAGAGCCCGTTTTATGAAATGAGGAGCCACCCCCATTCCAGCCCCCAACCTGGAGGACCAGGAGGCTGTGTTTGTCTGGCCTCTAACCACTGACCAATCTGGTTTGAGTGGCTCTGAAGGTGCAAAAAAGCACCACCCAGCATAGCTCAATGGATCTCTGAGGCACGCAAACCATCCTACCACGGTATGTTTTCTCATTCTCATTTGTTGACTGACCACCTAGAGGTTTCACATGCCTATTGACAAAAATAGTCATCACGTTTAGTACACGGAAGATTTCTTTGATTGACTGTTTGTAATTATGGTACAATTAAAGTGACCAACAATGCACACATCCTCTACGGGATCATAATGAATCCAACCCTGTGTTCACTGGCTTGTTTTTCACGAGAATCTGTGAATCACTGTGCCATGTGCTGCGGGTGAATTATTTGGCGATGATTTCATATGGGGTCCTTTGGTCTTTTTTGAAGTTGGGAATGACAGTTGACAGCTGTCAATCACCAGTCTATCGGCTTGAATGGCTCCCCGTTTCTTTTGACGGTAGCACCCAGTGTAACTGAATGGCCCACCGAGATACGCACATGCCAGTCACATCTTTGGACTTAGCTGCTTGTGAGGAACTTCACTACACCGGATGATATCAAATCTGGTCACCAGCGGAAACTGTTAACTCTGTTTCAGGTTTGTTTATGTGACTCATAACTACGATGCCTCCCTGTCTACCTGCGCTTCGGATCAATCCTGGGACTGCTCGTCACCTGACCTTTCAGACGGTTGCGCGCCCTCCGAAAATCACTTCGGCGTCCATACGCATGGTGTTGGGATCAGAGTTCCACTATGATGTGCCTGCGGTCGTCCACACTTTGCGTCGCTAATACTCACTGAGTATCTGTTATAATTTACTACATGCCTGGCCGTTTAGAGGTCTTCACACTCTTTTGTGGATGTATTATGATTACGCATTACATAGTCATTAATTGAAACATGGATGCTCGCTAGTTTCGGTAAGCCAGCATCAGCACTACACACTGATGGTGCGAAACATGCATCGAGATGTACAACGCTCTGCATCGAGTTAATCAGCGGCGTCTGCAGGACATCTCCGGTTAAAAAGTGACCAATTGTTCTTCATTATTTGTATCTCAGTCGTCTATCCGATGGAAACTTCGCTTGTACTAACACCGTACAACTGTTTACTGTATCAGTCAGGTGATTCTCGTCGCTAGGTTTGACCACTTCTATCGAAGCTCCAGTTCGCCAAATAGGTTGCTTCGATCTCCATCACGTCGAGCGGTCAAAATTCGCGACCAGTGCTATTCATAGCTACATACCTGAGAGTTCGATACTCAACTTAGTGCTTACATTAGTACAAGTGTAATTTTCCCTAAACCATAACTTCTAACCATATCCGCTATTATTAGAATTAACCACAATGGCTTTAGATCAACACACGGTTTTTCTTGGTTTTAAGGTTCGTGAAACCGTCTGGCTCAATCGAGTGAAGCGCTGCAGTTTGCGCTATTTCGGTGGGGCTTCTGGACACCACGCTTCGAATGATGCACGTATGCAAGACATTCGGCGGCTGCGACACGAATTGGCTCGCTTTATGGGTTGCGTTGACTGGCTCCATCTTCTGTGGCGTAATAAGCACGTGCGCTCTCCAGAATCACCGGAATCCCTCATTTACGACATATTGGAGCCATTGCGCACTAGCCTGAAGCCTGCTGCTCAAACCGAACTGCAACTCTTGAGCGAATGGTCCACTTCGAATCTGGGCCTGCGCAGTAAGTCAATAATAGTCTTTGGGGAAAAGTGCTCTACTAGATTCGATTTACACTTGACGTTTATTCCACTTCTCGCTTATCGATTGATGTCGGTCTACTCTTTGCGTCTGATTGGTTTATTCGTTGCTCGAGTTCCCAAACATTTGAACGTTTTCGTGTTATTTTCATTAATTTCCCTAACTGTGTCATGGTTTGAAGATCGCGTAATGCCGATTAGTGTCCGCGCGAATTCCCCACATGTAAGCTATCAGTTAGCTTATAAAGCTAACGAGCACAAACTTTACGACTTGAACCGGTGTGTATTTCAATTGGACTAACCACGAAACCCTTGGGTATTGCTCTAAATTCTTTCATCGTCACCTTTAGTGTCTTCTCTCATTTGCTTCTGCTTTAAGTGGTTTGCTCTTCATGAAGCACCTTCAGCTGCTTCTCGCCGCACTACTTCTCCACCATCGTGGCTCAACAGCAAGAAATTATGAATCACATTTGACATCGTTTAATAGTTACGGCTGTCGTATTTTCCTTACTTTTAGCTACTTTGCTTTGGATTCGGCCTTTTTTGTGGTGGTCGGTTAGCATCTTCCAGTTTTGCTGGTTGATTGACAGTTATAATATTTATTACTAAGTTATTTTTTGGGCCCTACAACTAATTTTGCTCCTTTCTTTTTCAAGGATTCTGTTTCTTTTTTTCACCATGATAATCCAACAATCTAACCCCTAGCTTCATTTAATGGAGAAATCATTGACTTGCTGGTATCTATTGCCTCGTAGAAAAGTTTTCTTTAATAACATTGCTCAGACCACATGGTTGTACTGTGCCTCGCATCACCGGTCTCTTTACTATAACTAATCTGTTTGCTTACATTTATGACCTCGACGCTGTTGCTCATATTTGGTCTTATTTTTCTGTTTTTTATTTTTTTTTATTTTTTTTATTTTTCCGCGCAACTTTATCACTGCTGTCTTGTATGTTGGCTATGCTCAATGGTTCCTTTGTCTTAGCACATTAAGCAAATTATGCTAGCGAATGCTTATTTGCTGTTATGTTAATTAGCATCGCTTTTTCACATTTATGCAGACCTAGCTCTATGGTCAATCGCGTCTTTCAGTCAACAACCCTTAACATGGATTTTACACATGTCTCCCTCCACTTCCTCTCTGCCTCCACTCTAAATACTGTCACCACAGCATCCACTCTGCACACATGCATACTTTGTAGTGCTTTATATATCCCTGTGGCTGAATTGGCTCGCCACATGGGGTATCATACAAGACACCCCCCAAGACTACCGTCGGGTTGTATAGCTAGCACCTACGGTTTGCTTTCTCCGCGCAAGTCTTTTTCTTGGCTGAGAGCCTTGACAATACACCGTTGACATGTACCCTCCAATGACTACCTCATAACGTCTGGGAGGGCCATTGGTAACGTCGTCTGATCGAAGGAAGAAAATTCTCAATTAGTGCGATTAGCTGGAGCAGCAGCCTGGGGAGATAACTCTGAAGTGTCTGTTATTCTGTATTTATCGTCGTTTTATAATGAGAACGCCGGCGACACTTAAGAAGAGGTTGCAATACCTCAAGTGGACCAAGCCACCACGGCCAAATAGGATGAGCGTCCAGCGGACTTCACGTAAAAAGGTTAGTACTCCGCCATGAACGACGGAAGAGTCTTTATCACGGACTCTTACGACTGGCCACTCATTTAACTGCAATTGCAGGCCGGCCACGACATTTCCGACGTTCCCGTTGCCATGAGACACAGTACTTGGTAAGTAGAAACCCATCCACACACAGTCCCCTCCAAACCATCAACTCAGCGGCGGATTAGAGCGTACGTACGACCCAGGGCTCAAGTCTCGACCTTTGTCTGTACACTTCCATTTCTGAATTGTCAGGACAGCAAGCGTGTTATCGGTTGTTCAACAATCACAAGCGATGGCGTCTGTCGATGCGTATCCCAGCCATCAGGATCGCTCGCCTGCCACGTCCCACACCCCATTTTATTCATCACACAATTCCCTTGTTTCTCCAGCTACCCCAAATATATCAATCTGGACGACCAACGCCCCGGCCGATAGCAACATCAACGACTGCACCGCCTCACTAGCCGTCCATGTCCTCTGACTTACAGCAAGAAGACAATTTACCAGACTTAGCGACCAATGCCAGACTCCTACATTAATTCGACTTATGCCCGCGCTAATTTTCCACAAGCTCAGACGTAGGTCAGCACTTAGCTCACCACCGCCGCAACCTAACGGGATTTTAGGATAATACTATCGTTGTCACTCGGACGGAGTTCAGCTGTTCAACATTCAGTAAAACACTCAAAAGCATGCATGGTTTGTCTCAGCACCGCCGTCAAGCTCAGCACAGCTATTTAACCACCAGTGCAATTAGTCAGCGAGAGAGGACATGGCACTTTAGGCCTGCGCCACTCATATGGCACACTGATCCAAATCTTCTATATCTGCTCAGTCAGCTCCTCATCCGATTTCCATGCCGATCAAATGATTGTATTGAGAAACAATTACAAAATCCCGGTTGGATCGTCAAAGATGCAAGAGAACGCCTTTATGGCTGCTCAGCTAATTCAGTTACGTTCACCGCTTCTAACTCAATCACCAAGTTCTCCTTACTATCCTCTGGCCGAAGAGGTCCACCCACCCCTCCATTTGAAACCCACAGGTCTGATTTCACCCCTCTTTTGGCGCGGTTCCTGTCTTAGTGACCATCAAGGCGACTCTATAGTCACGCTTATTGTCAGTACAATTGACATACATTGCTTTAACAGCCCACCGCTCCATACGGTAGCCCATAATTATCCTCCGCCTCACCATACAGAATCACCCCACGGGTCGATTTTGATGAATCAAACATCGATAACGATGCGAATCCCGCTTCAGATACCTGGTACCTAAAGATAGAGACCAAAGGAGACCAGATCGCCTTTCAACGTCTTCTGGCCGAAGCCTAGTGTACGTCACAAACTGAAACCATGCAGCTGCCTTGCTAACAGAAAACCTGCAAATGGAGTTTGCTAAGGCAGCATGGAAAGTGTACGCTCAGTCCTCCGCCCACACACATGGCGGCCACACTAAGCGTAGATAACGAGCATCCACAATCACCAACAGCGGTCAGCGACGGCGACTTCAATACGGCAACGTACGACGCCTCTATCGTCTGCAAGGGAAAGACGCTGCCGTTGCTCTTTAGTCCTATGAATGAAGACTTTTTCGTCTTCTAGCGTCTCTGGGCTACCAATTTTTGTTGCCCGATAGTGAAGACAACGCACAAGATTTCTTATATTTCATGCGAACAAAGCTGCGAAAATGGGTATATTGGCCAACGTAGGTTCTGTTTCTTTATACGCTTCTTTCAAGCCATCCATCGCTTCATCGTCGTAACTGAACGTTCAGAAGAACAAATGCGCCGCCGTTCTCTGTCTCATAAGTGAACTTCAACGATTGGTGCGCATGGTTAAACTGGTCCAATAGGTGTAAAGCATCGGCCGTGCTATCATCAACGATAAACGTGACGTCCATGTATTGTTGGTACGTATCCAGAGACGTGATAACATGTCGGATGGGACAGCGTTCTGATAATATCAACTTCCAGGGATGATTGCCGGTTTTCTGACTCGTGCTCCCAAATGAATTGTAGATTGTGATGCGCGTCACTAAACGCTTCCAACAGCTATACAGTTTGGACTTTCGATGTACAGAGTATAAAGATGTTGTCCACCTAACTCATCTACATCTCGCCTCCAGTGTTATGTGGCCTTACTGAGCTATGCTCCAATTTCGGCATAGACACCCCAATGGTGATTCCATGACCACTCCACCAACCTGACGGTGTATCTCTCATTTGAAGGTGAACTACACGGTTATGGTGCATCCGAGTAACACTTCCTTCAAATTTTCCGGGAGATTTATAACCACATCCAGTTTTCTACTAGTTCTCAAACATATTTCAGTTTCCCAAAACGGAATGTTCGTAAACAATGACCGAGCGTCAAATGATGATATTCACCTGTTCACTTCCCTTATCCTCAATTTACTTGAAAGTGTCTTTTACGCAGTAAGTGCAGATGTTTTTACACAGCGTTTTCAACTTCTGAACCATCCACTGAGCTGTCAAATGTGTCGGAGAACTACCCATGTCCAATGTGGGACGCTTTGGAGCACCTTCTTTGTGAAGGCCGTACAACCGTGGTAGGTGTCCGTCTGGCGGTCTCAGCTTTTCGAATTCGCATTTTGCGATAATATTTGCTTGCATCATTCGTCGGAGCAAACCGGCCAATTGTTTTTCTACCTCCCCTGTATTATCATTTTGAGACTTATGTCAACCACTAAGAATAATTTGGATCTTACGGATGTAATCAGTCCTATCAATTGGAACTATGCAAGAACCTTTATCCGGCTTATAGATAATCAACTTTTACTTTAACCATAACTCCAACTAAATGCACTTGTTCACTTGTAAAATTTCCATTACTGGCTGGTCTGGTCAATGTAATCATGACAGGTTTTTATTAAGCTGGTTCTCATGTTCTCAACGTCCCATGGTGAATTTGGGGACAGTTTCCGCGCCTGCCCTATTACACTCTCAAACTGTACCTCTAATGCAGACTGGTCAACCCTTTTACAATGAGTGCAAGTCTTAGGGCCTTATCATAAAACGTTAAGTTGTCTTGGGCTGAGCAAAACACTAGAACGGTTAAACACACTACCGCTCCGGATTATTCGGAAAGGTCAGTTGCGGAACTTGGATATTTAATGAGCTAATCAACATCCTTCTTTTATGTGCATCCCCTTTACTTCCTAACTTGCTCTACGTATACTTCATAAAAGCTTTCCTAACTCTTCGGATAAGCCTAAGGCGACATGACTCCGTTGTGAAATGTATCTCTCTACTTCTAATAACCGTGCAAATGTTATCCAAACAGTTGAGCGTGTGCCACTTCAAAGTCAATCTTGCCAAAGTCAACCGAGGTAACC